GCAGAGGAACAAATGTGCGTCTGAGAGGGAGATTTACACTTTGCTTTCCTTTCTGGAAATGGAGCGTGATTTTCCAGTGACTGCAGATGCTGGGCCTGTCCTGACGCCTTGAGAGGAGCTGCTGGGTGGGGAGAAGGAGCCCCCAGCCACCCACCCTCCCTGCCAGCTGCAGCAAACCAGGTGGGTTTACACCCCAGAGGGTCTGGATGAGAGGGCTGCAGTCCTGTGCTTCCCCCTGTCCACTCACATAACTCCCTGTGCCCCCCTCTTTCCTCCCCGTTCCTGGTGCAGCTCCAGGCTGGGCTGATTCACCTCCTGGCATGGCTGCACTCAGCAGAACCTGCTCAACCCCCACGGAGGGAGAAGTGCAGCATCTCTGGGGAAAAACACTCGATTTGCTGCCAACCCCATCCAGGATGAGGCTGCAGGCACCAGACTGCACAAGGGGGCCATGGGGGTGTGGAAATTACAGCAGGAGGGGAGCAACCCCGGGTTGGGAAGCCCTGGGAGGGCTGGGGGGAGCTCACCTGGAGCCATTCATGTGCATCAGCTTCATCCCTGCCTGCCCACAGTCCCCCACTCACGCAGCAACAATTTAAAGCAAAGGGAAAAACCATAAAGCAGGAGAAGTTCAGGCAGCTCTTTGAGCCGGTCCCGGGCTCCTGCAGTGACTGGGGGCTCCCCACAAACCGTGATGCACCAAGGAATATCTGGAACGTCATAAATATACCCTGGGAATGAAGGAAAAGGGATTTGAATTTCAACTTTGATGCATAATGTGCTTTCCCTATTAAAAAAAAACAAACCAGCCTTCTTGGCAGGGACCAGACAACTTCACACTAAATCTCCTGCAGGAGCATGTTGCCAGTTGCAGAGATAAAACCTCAATGAAACACAATTAGTTTCCACTTGGATTAGCCAAACCCGGGTCTCTCCTCCCACCCAGACACCCCGGCAGGCAGCGGGATGGGGACGGCTCGGTGGCAGCCCCTGTGTCCCCAGCCCTGCCGGGACCGGGACGGCTCAGCCCCCGGGGGGAGGATAACTCTCCTTTCACGGCTAAGGGGAGCTGACAAGTGATGAATACCCAGAGCCGGAGCGCTGCAGGGCAGCTCCTGTGTCTCACCGAGCACGGCGGCTCATCACGGCTGGTTTGCTGCGGTTCTCTGAGGTTTGCTGGGCAGCCTGGGGCAGGGTCTCCATTGTATCCCCTGTGGTCCAGCCAGCTCGGGGCTGGGGCATGGCACTGCTGCCTCCTGACCCAGCTCGGTCCCGAAGGAGGGAGGAGCACACAGAGGGGACGTGCCTGCGGCAAAGGTTGCTGAGAGATTTTTTCTTTAGGCAGGAATGTCTCGAATAGTGTATTTTTATTTTTTCCTAAAGGTTTATAAGCTGGGAGGTTCTGTAGTCTTGGAGCTTTAGGTTTAAGCATCACTCACGCTGGCAGTGTCTCACCCCTGTTTGCCCCTGACTCCTCGGTGTCACTCCGAGCCCAGACATGTGTCAGGCTCACTTGTGCTGCAGGCACATTTTTGGAGCAGGCTCACGCCTTCAGGCTGGGTCACAGTGCCCTAGTGCCAGGCTGGCAGGAACAGATCATGGGGGAGGAAGGAAAAACAGCCCTGAGCCATCCCTGGGTTGGAAGCACTCCCCAGGCCCTGCCCGGAGCCATCCCTGGGACAGGAGCACTCCCCAGGCCCTGTAGGGTCTGTCCGGAGCCATCCCTGGGATGGGAGCACTCCCCAGGCCTTGCAGGTTATGCTGGAACCATCCCTGGGATGGGAGCACTCCCCAGGCCCTGCAGGTTATGCTGGAACCATCCCTGGGATGGGAGCACTCCCCAGGCCCTGCCCAGAGCCATCCCTGGGATGGGAGCACTCCCCAGGCCCTGTAGGGTCTGTCCGGAGCCATCCCTGGGATGGGAGCACTCCCCAGGCCTTGCAGGTTATGCTGGAACCATCCCTGAGATGGGAGCACTCCCCAGGCACTGCAGGTTATGCTGGAACCATCCCTGGGATGGGAGTGCTCCCCAGGCACTGCTGGAGCCATCCCAGGAATGGGAGCACTCCCCAGGCCCTGCAGGGTCTGCCCTGCTGGAGGCAGCTGAGAGAGGGACCAAGAGTTGCTGGCAGGGCTCTGAGGGGAAATCAGCCTGTTAATTAAGAGCTTAATTACCCAATAACGAATGGTGGTGGCCTTAGCTCAGCCCTGAAGCAGGCCAAGCGAGTGAAGTGCCCTCAGGGAGGGCCAGAGGAGGTGAGGCGAGGGCAGGCTTTGCCTTCTGCCGTGTTTGGGAATATTTGCACGATCTGTGTATGGAGAGAACAGAATCCTGCAGCCCCCTCAGTATCCTCTGTCCCTGCCGTCTCCAAGGTGCCATGGGAGGACAGGGGTGGAGATCATTTGTCCCTCCAGCAGTACAAAATACCCCAGGCAAGGGGGGCACTGCAGGGTGGCCATTCCTGCTGGAGGAGGAGGAGGAGGGAGGGGAGTTTGTGAGCTGCAAAGGGAGAAGAATTTCCTTGGCTTGGTGCGTTTTGCTGCAGAAAGGCGGTTTCAGCTCCAAGGGTAAGGGAAATGAAACAGAAAAATGCTTCCTATTAAGCAAAAGGGATGGAGAGCCGTGCACAGCAGAGCTGTCTGCAGGGATGCTTGCTCCTGCAGGGGCTGGGCTGGGCAGAGGGACACGGGGACAGCCATGTCCACCCCTGAGGGTGGCAGGCAGTGCCTGGGAGAGGGCAGCTGGGTGCTCCCCACACAGATCCTGTGGTTCCCTGGGCAGGTCCCATGGGGAGATTGGGATGTCTCAGCCCAAGCTGTGGACTGAGATGGGTCTAAGGAGCTGCTGGAGGGTGTTTAGCTGATGCCCACAGCCTGTCCTGAGGGTGTCCTGACTGCTGGGACATGAGCAGTGCCAGCACATCCTCCTGCTTGCCTGCTCGTGGATCCAAAGAACAGCCCCAGCAAAGATCCCAAACCCAGCAGTCCCCTTTGCCCAGGGCATGGCAGTTCATCAGGGGATGTTCTTCCCCTTTGCTTTTAGATTGTTTTAAAAGCCTGAACAGACCTAGCAGTTTTGTGGCAGGAAGAACAACATTCATTCTGGAGCTTTCCCAAGTAATTCATCTTCTAAGAAATTAATTATCAGCACCGGGGCTGTGTTTAATCACCACCAGTCCCTGTGTGCCCGGGGTCGGAGGGCGCTGCTGCCTCTGCCTGCAGCAGCTCTGGGTTCCTGCCGGCAGGGAGGGGATCAGTGCTGCCCGTGGGATGGGAACTGTGAGCAAGGAGAGCAGATCCACCCCTGACAGCTGTGCAAACACCCCGGGGTGACAGCACCTGCCAGCTACGCCCAGGCTGGGTGGAGGGACAGGGCAGCCCAGGTGCTGAGAATGGCTCTGACACCTGCACAGAAGTCCCAGGGTGCTCATGGGGTTGGGAACAGGAATACAGCTCTGGGAACAGGGCTCTGTGATCCCCATCCTGCACTGAGGACAGCTAACCTTGGAAACAGGGCTCTGTGATCCCCATCCTGCACTGAGAACAGCTAAACCTGGAAACAGGGCTCTGTGACCCCATCCTGCACTGAGGACAGCTCCAAGGACAGCTAACCTTGGGAACAGGGCTTTGTGACACCCATCCTGCACTGAGGACAGCTAACCTTGGAAATAGGGCTCTGTGACCCCCATCCTGCACTGAGAACAGCTAACCTTGGAAACAGGGCTCTGTGACCCCCATCCTGCACTGAGAACAGCTCCAAGGACAGCTAACCCTGCAAGCAGGGCTCTGTGAGCTCTGGGAACAGGGCTGTGTGACCCCATCCTGCCCCAAGGACAGGTAACCCACACAGGGTTGTGCACACACACGTGAGTGGATGTGTGGCACACGGGAAGGAGGATGTGACAACGGTGACAATGTCTGTTTGCTGGGGGACACGGGAGCACCTGTTCCAGCAGAGCAGCCTCTGGCAGCTGTTTCCCTGACAAATGTGTTTGGTTTGGTGGGAGAGCCTCAATAGAAGTGGTGATGGCTGCAGGAGCGGGGAGGGGAGCACCTGCCTGAAGGAGGCTCTGGGGAGGAAGGGGAAGGGAAGGACAGAAGGACAGAAGGATGTTGGACACGTCCCTTGGCGATGACGAGATGTCTCTTTGTGTAGGGGGTTACTGTATGGGTAAATGAAGGTGGTGTAGAATGGAATCTCATCCCCCAATGAGTTGCAGCTGGACCAATTACTAAAGATTAGGAGCAGGCCCGATCTTAACAAGCCACACCTGTAGCCAATAAGAACAGTGGTATAAAAGAGTGGATTGGTGTCATCTGGACTCAGATGACTGCTGCAAGGACCCAGAAGAGTCTGTGCTTTGAGGAGCTGCCTGTGGGAAGCATTGAGGAGGTATGAATCTCTGGTGACATGGAATCCTTGCACTGTAATGATATAGGACTCTTGATATTTAAGACAATTCACGCAGGACCTGCACCTTGCTGCCTGGCCGGAGGCACCCAGATCTCCACAGCCTGGTGAGGTCCTGGGCCTCCAGGAGAAGGTTTGTTCCTGCTGGGGGAGAGCTGGGGGTGCCCTTTTGGAGGTGGGGGTGATGAGGGGATTTGGGGACCTCTGGGACTGTGGACCTGCAGAAGCTGGAGGTCCCCCGATGTGTTTCTGTCATACTTGTGCCCTCTAGTGGCTCTGTCCTCTCTCTCTGGTCCCTTGGCCACCATCCCAGTGACACCACCATGCTCCTGGTCTCGGGGCCACCACCCTGCGAGGGCTGGGATCTGCCTGAGCCTCTGGCACTGCCAGCCTTGGTGTCCTTGGAGGTGGGGAAATGCTGGGCAGGGAGGCACCTGATGCTGCCTTCCCCATGGTCATCTCCTCCGTGCTGGAAGGGAGTGCTTGTCCTTGCTTTCAAAGTGTTTCATCATGGAAATGTGATTTTTAGATTAGTGAGGAGGAAATGGGTCCCATAACCTTTCCAGAGGTGTGATTCCCCAGCCAAAACTGTTGGGTGAGTGACCCCAAAATGTATTTTATTTCAGAAAATCCAATCTTGAGATTTCTAACACAAAGTTTCTCATTTTCCACTGCTCGGGGCTGTTCTCTACCTTTCTGTTCCCTCTGTGTTTAATCACATGACAGCCTGGAAAAAACAACCCCAACACAGTTTTTTTTCTCATTCTACTGATGTTTCTCTTTTATCTAAAAGAAATAAAACGCTCCTTTGCCTCCGGCCTGTGGCAACCACCACATCTCAGCTGTGCTCCTGTGGGATGGGATGCTTGGATGCCCTGCAGCTGCTCCTGCCTCCCCTGTGCTTCTCTCCCTCCCTGTTTCTCTTCTTTGCAGGTTTTTGGACCCTCCCCAGAGCTGTGCCAAGGACAGGAAAGGTTTGGTGGAAGAAGCCCAGGCAGGCTCTGTGGGTCCCTGGGGTGGCTGCTGGAGCCAGGTGAGGATTTGGTGCCACATTCGGGGCACTGGAGCTCCTGCAGGGACAGGGGGATGGGGATGTCCCCGTGCACTTGGCAGCCAGCCCCGCCTGTGCTCCCAACGCTAGCAGGGGATGTTTCCTATCTGTGAGAGCAGATGTTGGTTAGGAGCTTCCTAAGCAGTTTCTCTTCCCTCTCAGAATTGCTGCTTGGCGAGAGAATTAAATTCCCTTTTGTTGTCAGTTTAGAGGAGAACAAAACCAAATGTCACCTGGAGAAATTCTTGCTGCTGCACCCCCGGGGGATGGAACGGCTGCCTGAGGACCAGGATTAGCCCATCACTGAGAAAGCCGATGGTCCCTGGGGGGATTAGACAGATGATCGATGCTGGGATTGGTTTGTGTGGTGGCTGCGGCGACAGCAGCGACCCAGAGCAGCTGCTCCCACCTGCCTGGGCTTGCACGGAGCCCTGCCCATTCCCGGGGTCTCTGGGATGGTCCCTGAGCAGTGTCAGCCCTGCTGCAGCCAGCCCTGCCACAGATGTTCTGCATTTTGGCTTTCTCCCCCTTCCAGCCTCGTTAGTATTGAAATTAAAAGCAAGTGTTTGTGAATTGGTAGCTGTTCTCCAAGACCCTAATTAGCAAATCTCTTCATCCCCTGGGGCTGCAATCTAATAATCAAAAAAAGAAAACCAGGAAAAAAACCCAAAAAGCCCAGCACCCAAACAAGCCCCAAACCTTGTTTGATGGATCGGGAGTGCTACTGGAACAGTAGGAAACGGCTCTTCCTGCTTAGTATGGTAATTAAACACTTCAATTGCAATTATTTTTGCAATTAGATAAGCCTCTAATTGTTATCATAGGTGGCAGGGGTTTGGGTGTGTGTTTGCCAGTTCCTCCCGGAGCTGGAGCACAGCGTGGATGCTCCTGGCCTGCTCCTGCCGGGTTTGTTTGGGGAGGAAAAGGGAAAAGCTCCTCCTGTGCAGGGACCCGGCTCCTGCTGTTCTGCAGAGCTGCTGATCAGGCAATTTCTCCATCTGCTCTGGGGGCTCACCCCAGGAGTTTCATCACTTCTCACCCCAAGGCCACAGGAGGGAGAACCATGAGGGGACCCTGGCTGGCAGGGCATTGCTGTGCAGGGGAGGTTTCCTGGCCTGCTGATGTTTGGTGGGATCTGGCTGTGCTGGGGGGGCTGCAATGCTCCCCTCTCTCAGCTTTCCTCACTCTTTGGGAGCCAATTGCTCTCTGTAACACCTAATGAGTGGTGGAGGGTGACACCCATGGAGGTACCAGTGGCAGATGGTGACACCCAGTGCTGGGGTGGCTTGGGAGGTGTCGAGGAGTTGGGGGAGTGATTGGGTGGCACCCTCATTTTTTAAGGTTTTCTGAGCCTTCTGATGTTCACATTCTTGTAGCAAACTTTCTCACACACCTTCTGTAAATAATTTACTGTTTTGCATTCTATTATAGAGGAGGAGGAATTTGATGGACTGTTGGCTGGTTTGTCCAGCATCATTGATGGATGAGGTGACACTTTCACCCTCTAATCCACTGTCACTTTTGGAAAACTATAAATGTGGGAGTTAGAAAATAAACTTTCCCTTTTCTTCACCTTGAGTGTCCTGTAGTGACAATTGGGGTGCCCTGTGCCAGGTCGGGGAGCCCAGCCCTGCCGTGGGTGGTGACAGTGGGTGACACGCTCAGTGTGGCCGGAGCTCGGGGCTGCTCTGTGCCCACAGCAAGCAGGGGGAGCTCTGAACCTGCCCCTGGGGATGGCAAAGTGTCCTTGCTCCATCAGCTCAGGGACCAGGGAGGGATCCCACAGGGCAAGATGTGCTCTGGGGGGTGCCAGCCTTGTCCAGGGTAGCTGTGCCTGTGTCTCGGGTGTTTGTGCTGTGTGTTCAGGCTCTGTCGCAGCAGAAGGTTGGGAATGGGACAGCAGGATGGAGCAGGGCAGGGAGGCTCTTCCCAGGACAAAGTACTCCCACAGAAATCATCAAGCATCTCATTTTCTTTCTGTCTTAAATAGATTTTTTTTTTTATACCACTGATTGTTTCTGCCCCAAGTCTGTGCAAAATCTTCTCTTTTGGGAGCCTTCATGTTGAGCTTCTCAGGAGGGCAGAGCCTGGGGCAAGCCCTGGCTGCTCAGTACCTCCCCAGCAGGCTCCAGGGCTTCTCTTTGGCTGGCAGTAGGGCTGGGACAGGGGGTGTGCTGTAAGGACAGCCCCAGGGATGGGAAGCAGCCCTGCCCCAGGGTGGATGCTGAGGGCCTGGGATGTTCTGTGCACAGACATCCAGCACTCGTGGCTGCCAGCATCCACCTCGCTTGAGCCCTCCTGCCATGTCACCCCATCTGCCAGGGCCCTGCCCCTCTGAGGGGTGGGTACATTCCCAGGACACCAGGGAAGTGGTGCCTGTTGTCTTTCTCCATCCTGAGCTGGTCTGTCTGGCACCACGACCTCAACAGCCCCTTCCCCTGCAGCCTGAGCCACTGCCAGGGCTCTGAAGAGGGCACTCCCAGCCCTGCCCAGGCATGCACTGCTTCCTGACCCAGCTCCCCAGGCATCTCTTCATGCTGAAAGTGTCACTGCCCACAGGATGGGCAGATGTTCTTTGGCAGCTCCTCCAAGGGCTCTTCTAACCCAGCACCCTCCTGGGAGGAACCTGGGTGGGCAGAGGCCTCTCCAGCAGTGTTTGGGGATGGAGTGATGCCATGTGCCAGAGCAGGGATCCTGCAGGGAAACACAGAGGGTGATCAGTGACTTTACAAGATGCAGATGGGTCCATTTTCCCCCCACCTCTCCTGCTCCCCAGTGTAAGGGGTGCTGCCCTCAGCACCCTGGGAGGGGCCATGATGTGATGCTGTGAGGATGCTCTCAGCATCCCCTGCTAAATGCTGAGTGCTGGCATTTGGGCAGAGCTGAGCAGGCCTGCATCACCCCAAGACCTGTCACCCAACGCCCCTCTGAGCAATAACACTCTGCTTTGTGGCTTTCTCTGCCTGCTCTTCCTGTCCCTCAGGCCAGCTAGCAGCAGCAGGGCTGAGTTGGCAGATTTGTTGCCTGACAAAAGTTGATGTCCTGGAGCTGGCAGTGCTCTGCTCCTGGGTGCTGCCTCTCGCATGGCCCCTCTGCCTGCGTGGGTCTGGGAACTTTTTGGTCAGGAGCTCTTTGGTTGGGTGTCCTGTATGAGGTGGTATTTCCTGTCCCCACCCCCATGGTGCAGAGAGGAAACCTGTGGTCACACCAAGACCTCAGATCTCCTGCAAACCTCTCCCTGAGACCTCTCCTTCGTTCTGCTGATTAGATGAGCATCCTCTCAGGGGATGGCTGGCATTTTGCTTTTACCTCACAGAAACAACACCTGTCTTACAACATATGCACAGGGACGGGAAGCATGAAGCAGAAGAGCTGGAATTGGTGTCCCCTCTGCCCCTGCTGCTGGGCAGTGACAGCAGCAGAGATGACTCTGCCTTGTGTCTGTGCTGTGCCTGCCCTGGGGGCCTTCACTTTGTGCTTTGTGGTTTCCAGGCTGGAGGGTTCACTCTGCTCCTGCTGCAGGGCAGCAGTGATGCCTCCTCCCCAAAGAGCAGCATCTGCAGCCTCCAAATCCTCTGTTCCTCCTCAGGCTGATGGGCAATGGCATTTCCAGGCTGATTCACAGGGGGTAGCTCTGAGCAGTGCAGGTTTATGGTGCACCCCTGGGTACAGGTCCCTGTACCCCAGCTCTGTGTGTGGACACACAGCACCAGCTCCTGCTATTGCTGTGACCTTGGCTGAGGTTAGAAGTGCTCAGGGTGCAGCAGGGACAAAGTGTGCCCAGCTTCTAGCATGCTGTGACTCTATTTCCCCCTCAGGGCACAGTCAATATGGAGAGCCCAGGTTATCAGCATGCAGCACTGGAGGGGGAGAGCACGTGGAGGTCAGGGTGACCTTGCCTGACTCTTGCTGAGAAGGGCTGCACAAAGTGACTCTCAGGAGCTGAGAGGCATCCCCATGCAGGGCAGTTGTGGCCTCCAGCCCAGCACCACTTGGAGAGAGCAGCAGTGCCTGGTGCAGCATCAGCTCTTCACCTCGGGAGCCCTGCCAGCATCTCCGCCAAAGCTGCTGGCAATTTCTGGGGATGTGGGCTTGCATGAAAATGAAGTGTGCTGGAAATTCATGGTCTGAATGCAGCTGCCTCTGCAGTGCATGAGGAGCAGGCAGGATGCAGCATCTTTCAGGCGGATTCTATAATCCTAAAACTCCAGGGCAGCTGCAGAGGGGGGGCCCAGCTCTGTGCACCTCCCCTGGCTTGGGACTTGCTTGGAGAGCAACCAGTGCTGGATAAAGGAGTGAGGATTCATCTCTGATGGTATCACCCTTTGCACCAGGCACCATCAGGAAGGGATGCCTGCACCAGCAAAACTGCAGTGGGTGCCACAGCAGGGAGAGCTCCCTCATTTTCACCCAGGGACCCTGGCCTTGTACTCACCCTGCAGCTCTCGCCTCTGCTGTCGAGTTTTGCACTGAGGAAAGCTGAGTGTTGTCCTTTCAACCTCACACAGGATTTTGGAAGAGGGCAGCCAGGAGTTGAAGGCTGGGAGATGTGGGTCCTAGGGCAGAGGGCTGGCTGAGGCTCACAGGAAAGCTCCAGTGCTGGAAAGGTTAAATTGCACATGAAGAGAGAGAAAGAGCAGTGCAGTCTGTCAGGGCCAGCCTGCTTGAGCCTGGCTTTGCTCTGTGGAGCCCCAGGCAGTGTCTGCCTGAGGCTGGCAGCTGGGGCAGGTGTGTTGGGACCAGGACAGGGACCCTTTCCAGTGGGAACTGGCTTCTCCTCTGCCCATAGATTGTGGCCATGGTCCTGTCCCATGCTGCTCTAAGAACAGATGGCATGCAAGAATGGATCACAGCCACTCATTCAGCTCCAGAGTTTTCTTCCCCAGCACATCCAGTTAGTGCTGAATGCTTCCTCTCATGGGATTTTAATCTCTCTGAACATCAGAGTCTGCTCTCAGAGCCTACAGAGCAAGCCAAGCACCAGGGCTCTTCAGAGCCCTGTCCCATTGCACTGAAACAGGTTCCTGAGGTCCTTTGGTTTTCTTTACTGGTTTTGTGTGAGTTGCCTGGTGTGGAAATGGGAGCAGCTGTCTTCCCCTTGCCTCTGTGCTTGGTCCTGTACTCTCAGCCCTACCTGGTTCTCACTGATGAAAGTGCCCTCCAGCCCCAGCTGCTCTGGAGGTCCTGTGGCTTTTGATTCCCTGCCCTGCTCCTGACTGAGGCTCTGAGTGACCCTTGAGACTGCTGCAGTGCTCCAGTATTTCCACTCTTGTTTGTTAGTCTTTTCCCTATGCCTCATAACAGAAAAGAACATTGTTATTAAGGGCAACAGTTCAAAATTCTGTTTTCCCTTGAATGATCCCAGGGAGCTTCTCTGAGCAGAGCTCTTCTGAGCTCTGGGTGTTCCTGTCTGGGGAGGTTATGAGTTTTTGGAATGATTTATGTTGGTCTTTTCCTGTTAACATGTTCAGGGCAGATGACTCTGAAGACTGCAGAGAGGAACCAGCTTGGTTTGTGCTGTGGGTGAAATGGGCTGCCAGGCTTTTGGTGAACAGGTAAATCCTGTGCTCACGTGTCTTGTGTGGCATTAGCTGATCCTGATCATCTGCCAACAGCAGATCTTGGTGTATCTGACTATGGAAAAAAGGGCTGGAAGGGGCCACATATGATCATTGGTGCATGATTGCTGTGAGGTGAGAGGGCTATGAAGAGAAGGAGAGAAAGTAAAAGCAGGTGCTCAAGCAACCCTTATCTGATTGTGAGTGGAAACCACAGTGGTGATACTGTGGAGGATGGGGTGGAGCTCACTGGATTTAAAAAGGTCAGGAAACATCCCCTTGCTTGAGTGTTTCCTGTGGGGAACCAGGGGAAGAATCTCTTCTACCCGGAAAAGCTGCGAGGGTAAAAGCCAGGAAATCAGTGACCCTGCCCTCTGCCTGGGGAACAGAAACCCATTTTCCTTCCCCTTTGATCTCCCTCCAAGTCATTATTGTCCCTTTGTGGTAAGTCAGCATTTTGAGAAGACACTGACATTTATACTCTGTTCTCTCTTGGCTGTGCAGGGAAGTCCCAACAGCCTGTTCAGCCTGGTCCCCCTGAGCTCTCCTGGCTCAGCTGCAGAGCCTCAGCACAGAGCTCCTGGTTTGCCCAGGGGCTGCACTTGTGTGAGTAAACAGGAGAGCTCTCTTTGTCTCTGTATGTTTGCAGAAACACCCCCACCACCTTAGACACATTTTCCATATGTTTTTATACACAACCTACAATTTGCCAAACGCTGTAACTTTGGGCTCCTTATTAATTCCTTGGAAATGGAAAAAGGCAGCCCCAGGAGCTGCATTCTTGTATTTGTTCCTGTAAATCCATCCCTCTGTATCTCTTTTTCTGCACCCCTCCCTTGGGTACAGTCACATTGGTGCCTTGGGGGAGGCAGGATGCTGGATCAGCCTTTTGGATGGCTCTGAACTTTGGTTCACCTCCCTGAGTTCTCCTTTCGGTGGCTTAAGACTCTTTCTGGGGCAGGATCAAGGGCACGTGCCGGGAGAGCGAGCGAGTGCGGCTTCTCTGCTGCCACGCTGGGAACAGGGAATCAAAGGACTCCTTATCTATGGATGGAAAGTTTCTGGGCTGCTTATCAGGCACTGCTTAGAGGTTAGATTATCTCAGGAGCAGCAGATTGACAGCATGCCTCTCTGTTCTCCTTGTGCTTGGCTGGGCGAACACCTTGGAGCGAGGCAGTGAGAGGGCGGCACAGCTCTGAGGGGATGTGGGTGCCCAGGGAGGGGGCTGGGGAGACAGCCTGGCACAGAACTTGCCCACTTTGCTCCCATCCTGCTCCCTCACCACACCCTTTGCTGGAGCTGACCCTCGTAGCACGCTTGGGGTGGCACTGAGGGATTTTTTTGCTCTAACTTTACATGGGCATTTGTATTTCTAAAAGCATCTGCCAGCCTAATTTGGGCTGCTCCTGCCCCTTTCCAGAGATGGGAATGGAACTTGCTGTTGGCTGAATTCACTGCTGATGGAAACTGGTGACTGAAATGCTGAGGGTGTGTGGCTCAGATGGGAAGGGAAGTAGCTGAGCTGCTCTGCAGGGAGCTGGGAACCCAGACCTTGGCTCCTGCAGGGACTCCCAGCCTGCTGCAGGTGCTCTGTCTGTGCCCCAGGACTAATTCCTGTCTACTCTTTTGTCAGCTTTCCTGGCCCCTGAAGCTTTGTGCTGTGCCCAGAATTTGCTGTCTGTTCCTCACAGGGACATGGCTGATTTTGGGGAGCTTCACCCCATTCTGTACAGCAAGTCCTGATGGCAACTGTCCCCATTACCCAGAAAATCCCAGGGACATTTTGTGCTCCCTGTGGATGGTGGCAATTCCAGGGGAGGCCCAGCCGGGTGGGAAGTTGGAGTACCTGGAGTTGTGCTGCCACCATGGAGGGGATGCAAGCTGGGTTCTTATGGGTGGTAAGGAATTTCTGAGTGGCCGAACTGAGGAGTTGCCTGGGCAAGGATCTCCAGCCTGGGCATCAGTTTGTTGCTTAAAAGTCCATGGACAATGTGGGGTGCCCACCTCTGCCTTCCTCTCTGGGGTCAGATTTACCGTCAAAGTCCCTAGTGTAGGAAGGCTCTTACCTCTTGAGGGCTCCATCAGTGAGCAGAGTCCCCTTCTCATTCCTCACCTCCAGCTTCAAGGGTTTGCCCTCCTGCCTGCCCTGGCCCTGCCTGCCCCTGGGCTGGGCCTGCTGCAGGGGAGGCAGGTGGGAGTTCCTGGGGTATCCCGTCCTGCAGCAGTGCAGCAAGTTCTGGTAGGCCACTCGGAAATCCTTGTTGAGTGTCCCATAGAGGATGGGGTTCAGGGCTGAGTTGGCATAGCCCAGCCAGAGCACAATGGACATGAGTGTGCCTTTGACCTGGCTGTCCCCCGACACGCCCCGGTAGGTGAAGAGGGTGAAGTAGGGGAACCAGCAGACGATGAAGGCTCCCAGCACCACTGCCAGCGTCATGGTGGCTTTGTGCTCCTTCACCATGGGGGACACGGGCGCGTTGCCCCACGTGTGGTTTATCCTCTTGGCTTGCTCCCTGGCTATCCTGAGTATCCTGTAGTAGGTGATGCACATGATGACCAGAGGGATGTAGAAGGTGAGCAAGCTGTCCACCAACCCGTACTCAAGGTTCACTCCCAGCGTGCACTCCTTGCTGCAGGTGGTGCTTGTGTTCTGCACCGCCGTCCCCTTGGTGTTCCAGCCCAGGTGGATGGGTAGGAAGGAGACCATCAGTGAAACAGTCCAGATGACAGCCAAGCCCACGGCCACCCGGGAGGGAGTGACCACCTGGCCATAGCGGAGCGGGGTGGTGATGGCGAAGTAGCGGTCCAGGCTGATCATGAGGAGGTTGAGGATGGAGGCCGTGCACAGCATGACGTCCAGGCTGGTGTAGATGTTGCACAGAACCCTGCCAAAGGGCCACTCCTTGGTGAGCTCGTAGTAAGCAGAGAAGGGCAGCACCAGCAGCCCCAGCAGCAGGTCTGTGATGGCCAGGGAGACGATGACGCGGTTGGTCACGCTCCGCAGCCGCCGGTCCAGGGTGACGGCCAGGCACACGATGATGTTACCACAGAGAGTGATCACGATGAGGATGCCCAGAAAGAACCCGACCAGCAGCTGCATGGGGCGGTCCATGCTTTTTTGAGAGCTTGTGTGGTTGTAACATGGATCCATGGTGTCACTGCAAGGATGGAGCAGTCCTGCTCTCATCAGCTCCGAAGCTCCCTGGAGTGAGCCTGGACCAGGCAGGCCTAGAGCCCTTCCCAAAGTGACCCTTGTTCTACAGGGACCTTGGAGAACATTGCAGAGTCACTTTACACGTTCAGCCTTGTGTGCTGGGAATGACATGGTCTAGGAAAGATGTGGCACTGCCACTCACTTGTGCTTTTGGCCCTCTCTGGGAGCTCAGTGCCGGAGCCGATGCCCTGTGGCAGCTGCTGGTGGATCTCAACTGCTTTGTTTCCTTTCTTGCCTTCTCCTTTCCTCTGAGTGATGACTGAGTCAGGTCCTGTGGGCTCTCATGCCCTCTGCATGTTTGGTTGGTGACAGTGGTCAGCAGTGCTCCAGCAGGGACAGAGCTTTGCCACCTCCCAAGGACAGCCTGCAAAAGAAAGTGTCTGGTGAGACCCTGGCACAGATTGCTCAGAGAAGCTGTGGCTGCTGGAAATGTTCAAGTCTAGGCTGGAGAAGGCTCTGATCAACCTGGTGTTACAGAAGGTTTCCCTGTTCTTGGCAGAGAGGTGGAATGAAATCTGTAAGATGCCTTCTAAGCCATTCGGTGATTCTCCAAAAGCATCAAGTCAGAGCTCCAGTGGGCAAAGACCTCTGAGCTTCCCCTCAAACCCTTCCAGAAGCAGCGTGTCTGTACCTCCCTGGCTGCTCCAGCCCACTTATACCCAAATTGAAAGTCTTTTGGCAGCCAGGCACCCGTGTACCTGCCAGCTGGGCTCTCCCAGCACTAGGGGTGCCCATGTAATGGAGGGATGTTGAGAGAAGAGCAGGGATTTTAAAATTGTCATCTTCCTATAGGTTTACAATAAACGTGAGAACGAGGAGGATATGAGGAAACAATTTTCCTGAGATAGCAGTTCTTATGCAATTCAACAAAATTAGTCGCAACTACGTAATTTCTGAATCTTGGCTGTGGCTGCCGATTTCATTAAACTTTGTCCTTGTGTCTGAGCTTTGCAGCAGCCATCCTGCCATCACAAATCACAGCAGCTCCTGATGCCTGTATGGGAAATCCCCACTCTGCTCTGGGTCCTGGGAGGGAAGGAGAATATCCGTTGCAGAGTGGCTTTTTCTGGCTGTTTTCTGTCTGGATACAAATAACAAAATGCCACACGTTTCCAGGGAAGAAACAACAGAGCAAACCACTCTAACTTACAAATGAGCTGCTGGTTATCGTGATCTCCAAGACCCTGCCACTACTAGACTCAAAGGTTCCTTGGGTCCTTGATTGGAAGCAATATCCATGTTGGGAAGATACCTAAAGGGGAATTGAGGCAGTGCAGGGACAAGAAAGAGGGCTGGGAATGGGCTGAGGAGCTGGACTGACTTGCTGACCCTCATGGACCTGCCTGTGTCCAAGCTGTGGTCTCCCAGATGGTTTGAGGGGTCTCCCCATCCTCCTCAATGTGTTGGTCCCTGTGGGTGGTGCAGGACCCAGCTCTGCAGGCTCCCTGCACCCATGGAACAGCAGTGAAGCCTCCCGGGATTGTGCAGGAAGGCAGAGCTCCAACAGGCTGCAGAGATGGAGCAATCACAAGAAACTCCAGGAAAGGAAAAGATCCAGCCTTGTCAGAGGACAAAGGTGAGATTTTAAACTCTCTCTGCATAAACAAGATAACACCTGTGGTGCAGGTTAAAATATTCTTTAGATGATTTATGTCTCTGATTGAAGTCTGAAGGCATGAGGGCCACAGGAGGGAGTACACGAGGGAGACTGCATGAGTAAACAGCCCCTGATTGCCAGGAGCCATAAAGGGGAGAGATTGGGACTGGACCACTGAGATTAGAGGTGACTCCCACAGCCCTGCTGCTTCTAAAGGCATGGAAAGCAAACAACAAGGCACGAACCAGCCCATGGGAAGCCTTTTGCTGAGCAGAGCAAACTCCTTGGCAGACAGGGAGCCCTCTGAGTTTGGGTGCTGGGATTGAGGCTGTTGGAGAGGGATGCGATGCTTTCAGCCACAGCAGCAGTGTGTGGAGCAGTTTCTCACCTCCAGCTGCAGCACAGGCTCTTGCCATGGAAAGCTCTTTGTTCACTCACAAAAGGAGCATGGAACAAGCTGAGCGCTGCCTGCCCACTGATGGCAGCGAGGAGAACAGGTTGTTCCCACAGAAGGGTATTTCCAAGTGAAAGGGATGTGCTTTCACTGCTCCCAACATGTGGAAATGGCAGATTAAATTATAGGGGGAGTAGCACACTTAGAAAATGCTGTGGGTGGATGGCAGCTTCCTACGTGGCTGCTTCACCACACACCAACAACCTGCTCCTGCCTCTGGCTCTCGCAGCTCACGTGGGCTCTGCTGGTGGGACCCAGCTCTGGGCACTTCAGCTCATTCAGCTCCTGGTGCAGCCCTGCCCTGCTGATGTGCCCAGGAGGAGCTTTGCTTCTTATTGCTTTTCCAGGTTAGCTCAGGGCAAGGAATGGGCACTTTCAAGGGACAGAGGTATCCCCATCCCTGCAGAGGAGCTCAGGTAGTGCTGGGACTCTGCAGGGCTCAGCTGCCTGCAAACCCTTGGGATGTTCCTCCATGGAATGGGGCAGGACCTGCCTCCTGTCAGCTCGGATGTGTGATGCTGCAACCCTAACTGTGGTGGAGGTGGGGGATACCTTCCCATACCCCCAGCCAAATTATCTCCTGGAAACACTCCCCCAGGAGAGCACTGCCTCGGGACATGGCTTTGCAGGAAGAGAAGGATGGAGGGCTGGTACAGCTGGGGGGCTGTCAGCTCACTGCCAGCAGGACACAGACCATGCATCCAGCTCAGAGCTCTCTCCTGGAGCATTGGCTCTCTGTGACTCCACATGTGCCCCTGGCTTTGTGCCCAGGTCACTCACAGCCACCTTCACTACCTGTGTCCTCTGCTCCTGTTGTGTTTTGGCAGAGTGAGCTGATTTCCTCCTCGATGTACGAGTGGAGCAGCTGTTTCCCATGGCAGTCTTTCCAGCAACAGCCGGAATAAATGATACCTTCCCAGCCCTGTCTCACCAGGCAGCTTTTACATTTACCTGATTATCCTCATTATCACAGCCTGGACCTGCTTGTGGTTCAAAATCACCCTCCTGACATTGAAGGAACCAGAGCAGGGCACAGCTTCTGGGTCATCTTTCTCATGCCTTTTCCATGGCACTGGTGCTCTGACTGACACTGTCTCTGCTGTGAAGATTTGTCAGGTTGCATTTGTTGTTGCACTCATCCTGGGGCTCCCCAAAAGCCAGATATTTTTCCTATGGTGTTTTCAGCTGCTTAGAATAGCAATTTTTGCTTTTTGCTAAGCGTGTGAGCCTGTGCCAGGCCGATGTGTTTCTGTTAATCTACAGATCCTCTGGTTCTCCTCTAGTACTTAGTCCCTTGTTCAGTGCAGAACTTTTCACAAGTTTCTCACCAGTACATTTCTCTTAAAGAAGCGCTAATTTTCAGAGCCAAGATCACTAATGAAAACCATTAAATAAAATTTACCTCTAGGCTGATCTTTAAGGAACTCTGTTAATAGCCTTCTCTGGAGCATTAATGATCTTTCCGCTGTAATATCCTATCGTCTCCCCATTATCCTCTTTACAATTCTCATAGTAATTTCTGCTTTCTCTTGCCTGAACAGATATTTTCTGCTCTGTTGCAGTCCATGTTGCATTTGATCTGCTGTTTTCCTCTTTAAAATGGCATTTATCTCCTCTGGGGAGGGGGCTGTGATTTATTAATGGGAAATTTCTGTTGCATTTTACTTTTTTATTCCCCCTCCCCATCTCTCAGCATCCTTTCCTCCAACATCATTAATTCCAGCACTTGGTGCACTTTTGCAGTAAGATTAATGGGATGCAGTGCTGGCTCTGGCAGGGAATGCATTGGCTGCTCTCCCTTCCTGTGCTTCTACTCCTGGCATAACAAGTTTGTTTTGAACCTGTTAAAAGCCCGGGTACATCAGCACCATGAGCAGACACGGGTGGAGAGGAGCACTCAGGAGGGGCCTGAATGTGGCAGCCTCTGTTTGGGAAGTATTTCCCACTTCTGGAAAGGACAGGGATGGCTGGGGGCTCAGGAGAAGCTCCACATGAAGCCTTTTAGCTCTGTCCTTAGGGACAGGAGGGCTGTGCCCTTGCAGACCTGAAATGTTCCTCTGCCTCCCATGACAGCTTCTTTCTGAGAAAAGAGCAGGCAGAAAAAGCACTTTGCACTTGGGAGCAAAGTGCATTCCCCTGGCCATGCAGAGCTCACAGCAGAGCATCATGGCTTTTTCTAGAACTATATTCAACTCCTGCCTGAGATGAAACATCTGGGCATGCTGGGAGAGGTATTTCAGCCGAGAGATGGGACGGAGTGTGGGGGATTCTTCTGGTCTGAGACAGGATGCCTGAGGTTTGATGGTGGGAATTGAAAAATTCCTAAGCTGGGAATGGGTTTCTTGATCCTCTGCCGGGCCCATAAGCCTGATGGGACAGCAGCAAATTTGTCACAGGTAGGACTTGAAGGCAATGTGGGAGAGGACAAACTCGAGGGGACAGTGGTGTCCTGCCTGGCTGCATCCCCAGATGCTTCTGTCCCTGTTCTTTGGGCTTTTCCAGAGTTTGGTGTCTCTCTGCCCTCTCCCAGTGTGATGTCGATACAAAGCAGCAATTATTGCCTCTGGCGTGAGCAGAGGGGCTGGGGGAGCCAGGACAAAATTCCTATCAATGCCACCAGCCCTCTGTCATGCTTCCCCAGGAGGAAAGGGGCTCTGTGGGTAAGAAGCTGTTCAGGACCCCTGAAATCAGGAAATGTGAAGAGCAATGTGGAAATGCACAGAGCAGTCAGCATTTTGAAAGTTTGCTCGGCAGACAGTGTCCTGGCAAGGTGAAACTGAAAACAGAAGAGTCGGGCTCAGGGGTGTGCTTGGAGCTGCCTGAGTTTCTGGGATTCAGCTGCTGCTGAAGCTGATTCTGGACAGGGACAGCGAGCACTGTGCACCCCTGGGGCTGCCCAGCCTGGGGATGTCCTGCCCCACAGATGTGACCATGCCCTGGGATGGGGCAGGAGCAGAACCCCCCAGGGTGTGCAGGGCTGGAGTGCCCAGGGAAAAAGGCTCGATGGAAGGGCTGGAGTGCCCAGGGAAAAGGCTCGGGCAGGTCAGGGTGAGAAATCAGCAGCAGCCCCATGGGGAGGCTGCTTGGGCAGAGAGGCTGCACCCCACAGATGTGCAGGGCTCTGCCCTGGGCACACTGCACCCATGTCCTTCCCTTGGTGTTCTCGGATCCAGCTGTCCCCACCAGCAACAGCCAAAAAAGTCCCCAAACTGGCCTGCACTCAGCCACCACAGGATGCTGATGGCACCAGCACCTGACAAGTGTCACCCTCTCACCTGACCCAGCTGTCCCAATGCAGGATCCCACTCAGCAGGGACCCACCAACCCTCCTGAATCTCACCTAAAAAGTATTTTAGCAGCGTAACAACTCAGCAAGAAGTAAGGCAAAGCATTACCTGGGAAAGGCGCTGCTTTCTCAGAGCCCCTGGGTGTGCGGGAGGCTTCAGGGGCT